CTTTCTACAAGGAGCAAGAAGAAGGAACAGATTTAAACTTTTCTATTATCATCAGTATTAATTTTCCAACTAATACTCGATGTTCGATTTAACAAGCTTTCCACAAGGAGCAAGAAGAAGAAACAAATTTAAACTCTGTTAATACCATCAGTATTAATTTTCCAACTAATATTCAATGTTTGAGAAGCTTTCCATGATTCTGTTAAATAAAAGAACCTAAAAACATGAAGAAGATGCAGTAGATTGGATGACACGGGTCCATCCGAAATAAGAGAGTTTTTGTATTTCCAGAAGATTTCCAATTTCGCGATCATAATTTGTTAATAATTGGACATTGTTTGTGTCTAGGGTGGAAGAGATTCCTCTCGCTAGCCAACTGGTCCCAGGTGTGTACACGGGGAGCGTGGCGGACGCGTGCTTCTCCCCTCTTCAAACTCCGCTTGCAGCCGAATGCAGTTGGTCTTACTCGTTTTTTTTTTCGTTCTGCATGCTTTCCTGTTTATGAACGTACATACGTATATATACATAATCCGTTGAATGGGATATAAATGAACTTAACAAATTTTAATTGTATTTCAATGTACAAATATAAATATAATATACATGAAAATACTCATATATGTATGTTACAACGAATCAAGTAAATATATTAATTATACAAGGAAAGTATCAAGAATAAATGAATGTACATATACGTATACATTTATTATGACGAATCCAATAGTGTATCGGTTACAGAACGAATATATCAATTATAAAACAATGTACGTACACATACATGTATGCATCACATATATATATAAAATATGCATATATTTGTAATTTGAAATGTGACTTAAACATTTTGAATTCATTCATACAAAGACACACACACATTCACGTATAACAATTGCATTTTTATTTGCTTACCGTAAATAATATAGTTTTCAAAGGTTGCACAAAATTCGCATCTAGACTTTGTACCATCACCCCAATTGAAGCCCAACAGAGCGATTATCGAGGAAAGTAAGGGGAATTAGTACGGGACGATTCGACGCAGAGAAATGCAAAAAAGTTCTTTTTCCTTCTTTTTTTACATTACGAGATTTGCATTCCGGAAAGGTGGTAATTATTCGTAACGGAATAACGCAATTATCAAATTGACCCTCGCACCCTCACATAATTACTCGTGACTTCACGATTTAAGTGGATAATCATTGGGAATTGGCGAACTGTTCACCGAACGCTGAAATTTAGCAAGCGTCAGAATGTGGGGCGCCAGGTCGTCAATTCGCAACGTGTAATTTGCGTTGCGCGTACGCATACACCACACGTGTATTAACTCCAGCCTTTAACCGTCTATTTTGAATTACTTTGCGAATCGTCCGCGACAAAGGATCGTTCCCTTTTTTGAATCCAACGGTTCGTCGATCCTTCAAACGAATCTCGTTGATTGATAATTATCAGCATTGCATTAATATGAAACATATAGGATTCAATAAAAGATTATTACTGTAAAATATTCTGTTGAAGGTATTAACTTTTTTCATTTTAATTAAACTATTTAACGTTGCAAATTCCTCTTAGAGCAACATGTAACATATCGTGTTAAACCTATAGCTTTAGTCATGGCTCTATATGTAACTAATTATTCCTGTTTCTTTTTAAAAAATTAGAGTGTTTTCGCACGATTTGAATTCGTGAAATTGTAGTTGGATAATCTTTGGTTGATTTAGTTTCCTTTTTTGTATTTGTTTGGACTTTTATACATATTTATAAATATGTAGGAACACGACGAATGGCATGAAAGAAGGCAATACTTTTAAATAGAGTAACTGTACTTCTACAATGAGAAAATTAACCTTTTGCACTCGAGACCTTTTTTTCTGGTATCTACCAGCAGCTCGAGATGTTTCTTAGCATTCTATTGCCATGAATTCTAAGCTATCTAGATTTGAGAATAAGGTCACCTTTACCGCACTGACAATCATTTTATTGAGATTTTGAGCTCCAAA